GATGGATATTATTGAGGAAAAAATATGTTTTAAATAGTGATATGATGAGAAATATGTGGTTAAAAAGTAAGGAAAAATTATTGAGGCAATGGAAAATATTATTTTATTGAAGAATGTGTGGTTGAAAATGAGTTATGAAATAATGTATTTTGAAGAAATTTGTTTCAAACAGGGGTTATATTTAATACATATTGTCAATTCTTTCCTCATGGATAGAGGATCATGGCAATATTCAATTATATTTTAAGCTAAGAATGATGTCTTCGAATGTGGCGCTAGATTATTGTATATTTAGCCTCAATGTGGCAAAATTTATTAATATCTTATAAATGATCAAACTTCATTTTAACCACAAATTCCAATGGACTCATAAGTACTATTCACTTATCTAGCAATCATTTCTATATATTTATAAATTACATCGTTTATAAATTCTGCACGAACGGAGGCTTATATGTCACTCCAGCCCATTATACTTAGTTATCTGATTTTTTAATCTCTTCCTGTTCAAGTAAATTTGAATGGTAGCCATATCAATGGACATCAAGTAAATCATGTGCCTCATTTTATAATCCTTTGTTTGATACACATTCTTAAATACATTTTTCAATAAAATAATATTACACGCGAATCCAAAACTTTTCCTTATTTTTTAATCACATATTTTCCATCACATCATATCATAAAATGCATTTTCTTCTCCATAATGTGCATCAAACACCCCCTAAGTCGTGCTTTCAGTTATGGGATGACCTAGATGCGTCTACATCTTGGTCTTTCCAGTCTAGATTAGAACCATGCTTTTATTTAGTATTTATGTTCTGGCATTTTCTGCTTTTCAAGTATTTCTCTCTTCCCATTATTCACCATAGGTGACTGGTGTGGTTTTTCCCCGTTGTCCTCCCTCTCTTGATTCGCATTGCAACCTCTCATTCATATTTTTTCTTCCCAAAAATGCTGAGATCAACAAGATGTTGGTATATTTGAGGAAAATGTTTTAAGAATTATCATGGGCGTCTGCCAATCACAACCCACATTATCTTACAAATGGGTAACTATGAGAGTGAATGGTTGTGATTTGAGACATGGAAATGTTACTAATCAGTAGTCATCACCCATTGGTCATGTCCAGAGTGAACAAATATGCTAGTTCCGTGGAAGTTGAGAGGAGCTTTACATCTACTCCCTCAAACTTACATGAGAAAATTAAAAATTGGATAAGAACAGTGAGGAAACCTTTCTAAACACCCCAGATTTCTCCAGTACGAGTACTCCTTGCTAGTGATCGGTGGAGAAGGAAAGGAATGTGAGAGAAAGATTGTATTTCTTTAACCAAGCCAAGATTCAAGGTGTTCATGAGCTAGCTCTTGATGTGCTAGGAATCATGAGTGATCAGTAAACTGCTGTAGTTTGTTGCCAGAAATTCAAGTTTCCTCCGTCCCAACAAGGGTCTCAATGTTAAAATAAAATTGGGGTTTTGAGCATTGCAAATGTATATCTGATCTCAGAGGCTGGCTCCGAATATGGAGATATCTTTGTCTGCATCGATCAACACATTTCATTTTTTTCTTTTATATTGAACTGCTGCTTCTATCTCATTGCATGCTATTAGATATGAGAGGAATCTGAAGTTCCCCCATCTTCACGCATTCTGAAGGTGCATTTTGTGGATGTGGATGTCCATATCTTTTTTGGTGTCGCTGTATTTTGATCAATACATGGTGATGCTTATTTATTTATTTATATATGCTACCAAACTACTTAGTACTGAAATCTTGCTTCGATGGCCCTGGTTTACGGCTGTAATTGATGATAATGTTTTGTGGTTGTCTTCTGTATATGGTTGCATGTCACCTGGATCGTATATTTTCCTATAATTCAAATAAAAGGAAATGACTAGTGCGATTTCTTTTTTAAGGTTGGCCCGGGTGAAGTGGATGATGATTTAGAAGGTGAGGTAGCAGAGGAATGTTCTAAATTTGGGGCGGTGACTCGTGTCCTAATATTTGAGATTACAGAACCTGGTTTCCCACACGATGAAGCTGTAAGAATCTTCATTCAGTTTGACAGAGCAGAACATGCAACTAAGGCCCTTATTGAACTTGAAGGCCGCTTCTTTGGGGGTCGGGTTGTTCATGCTTGTTTCTATGATGAGGAGAGGTTCGGCAATAATGAGTTGGCTCCTCTGCCAGGAGAAATCCCTGGCTTCTTTTGAACATTTATTTAAAGTTGAAGATGCACGTCAGTTTGCTGCTTGTTTATGTTAGGGCATATATATTATATAGGCACTGACATTTGGTAAAAGTCACCCTTCTGAACAGTTGCATTGGTGGAAAGAGAATGCAATTTTTTGTTTGAAGATTGTAACCCAATTGTCCCCCCTGCAGCAATTTTTCTAAGCTTAAAATTACTTAATAAGTAAATATGTAAGTTTTAAATATTTCAAACATTCTAAAAATAAAATTTAATTGAAAAGTAAGTTTAATTTACTTTTAAGCTTTGCCGATGGTTCCAATATAGATATTAGATTTCCCTTGATAAAATAATAAAAATACAAGTCAACACGACATGAATATAATGAAAGAATGGTCTCGTGCACTTGGGTATGCATTAATTTGGCTACCCTTGCTTGATGCTTTGAGGGGGAGGAGGGCTTGTTTCCTTAAAGAGACGTAACCAAGTATGCATCATTCTTGGTCTCAGAGATATTTTGAAGTGTACTATTCTATGTTTGCCTTTTGGTGGCTGAACACTTTAAAATTCCACTTCTTTAATTCGAGCAATTACATCGGTTCTTCCTTTAACAACTGATATAACAGGGATTTTCCTTTCAAGTGAGCTTGAGGGGTTCAATCGAGGTGAAGGATTGATAAAGCTCACTTTAAGATGGTGTACATTTTGTAGAACTAATAATTTACTACCTAACTTCATAAGACTTACCATTTATAAGCACTACAAAACAAGCATTTAAGAATTAATGATATCAATAATCCATTTCGAGATTTATAGCTAGCACTAGCAGTAGAACATCTATGTACAATTGGAATCAAAAAAGAAGAAAAGTTAATATCACTTTTATTCTTCTTTGCATCCCCTTGCCAGGGACGGACTTAGGGGGGCTGGACCGGGCTATAGCTCCCAACCTATTTAAATTTTTTAGTAGACAAAAAAAATTATGTAAAAAAAAAAAAATTCTTGTGTAATATTTTTTTTTAATGCATTAGTCTGGTCTGTAATTCGGTCCGGATCCATCCCTGCCTTGTCCCTTTCAAAAATTGACTTTTGGACCAATATAATTGATAAGCGTGGCAGTTGACCACATGAATTGTTTTATCTTTATTTAGCCTCGTTTGGCCCATATTAAATTCATAATAAATTTTTTTCTCTCTTCTTTTTAATCTCACATTTTCTAATAAAATAATATGGTACATAAACAATTTTTTTTTCAACCACACGTTTTTAAAAAAATACTATTCCAAAAATTATAATATCAAATAATGGGGGCCAAACAGTGGCTTAGTACTTTGTTGTGCTACTAAGTGTTGTTTGATATCCATTAATTTGTTTTATAGTTTGTTATATGATTATTTTCAACCATACATTCACAATATTCTGCACGTATACCAAAATTTTTTCCTTACTTTTTAACCATACATTCTCCTAAAAATATTATTCAAAACTCATTTTTTTACAATTAATGAGAATCCAACATCCTCTAAAATTATCAATTGATACACATAACTCTAATTTCGATGCTAAACAAACCAAGCTTAATTGGATGTCTCTATACACGACCAATTATGTTTCCTAAGGTGGACTTATTTTAAAAAATAATCTTTTTATAAGTAAAGTTATGCATATTTGGATAAGTTGTCTTATATGTATTAAGTATTAACGCCATTTATATTTAACGATCTGATTTAACAATGAATAGGGTAAAGAAGTACTTTTAAAACATGTTGTTGACACATTAAAAGTACAGTCCAAATTGAATAGCCCGAAGAGTATAGCCCGAAGAGTGAAGCCCAATTGGAGAGTTTAGGACAAAGGCCCAAATGAGGTTATGGGTAAATGTAGAGGAAGCCCACGAACACAGTAACATCATCGTCCAAGCCTGCATGACGCACAGAGTTTGGACGAATGGAGTG